CCCCCCTCCTGTCCCCCCCTCGCTCCCTGATTCTCCTCACACATTCTCCCTCCCTCCCTCCCTCCCTCCCTCCCGTCCCCACCCCCCCCGCGACCCAGCTACCATCCCTCCCCCTCCTTCCCCCCTATCTCCCTCTCGACCCCCCAACTACTCCCTCCCTCCCCCCTCTCCCCTCCCTCCCCTCCCTCCCGCATTCCTCCCCCCTCCTGACCTAATATGCATTGTTTTGCGCTACGTTGCTTCGGTTTGCTCGGTTTTGTATGAGGTGGTTCTACTTCCGACATCGCATTGCATAGTTTGGCATGGTATTGTTTGATATTGACTTGCTTTACCTTGAACTTGCTTCTATTGCATTGCATTGCACTGGTTTGCATTGCATTTGCTATCGAGAACCCCGAAGAACCCAGCCACTAATCGCTATCGCCGCTGGCGCTCTTGCGCAGAAAAATTGGGGAACGAGTAAATCAGGGCCCCCTGGGCAGAGTTGAATTTAGGTAGACGGGAGGAAGTCGGGGACCATGACCAAGACTGAACGCGGAAACGTCGTGTCGGTCTTCATCACCGTCGATTTTGGTCAGCGCCAATTCGTGGATCGCGTCGCGAATCAGCGACTGCCGACATGGACCATAATCAAGATCGACATCGACAAGATCCCGCGACATCTTGGTCTTGGTCCCCGCGATCCTCCCCTCGACGAGGAGAAGCGATGTCAGGTATCATGGGGCGTCCGCAGTGGCAAGATCTACGCGACATCGACGGGGCGCTCGGGAAGGCCAGGGGTCCAAGATCCCCGACGTCCTGATTTGTTCAGAACGTCGACCCCAAGGTCTCGACGCATCCCCCAGGACTGGTTTTTCATCCTTCGTCGCTGCTTGACGGTCACGTCACGTGACCATCGTGGCCACTGGGGGCCCTTACCGGGCCACGTCGTGGCCCGGTAAGGGCCCCCAGTGGCCAAAAATAGCGAACAACCTTCCGTCGTAATTTTTTCATGACTCGAGGGGGCCCGGGGTTCAGGTGTTGCCAGAGGTGACCCCAGCTTTTCGAGCCACTTCGGGCTCCCAGCTTTTCGAGCCTTTTGGGCCCCCCGGGCCCTCTGGGCCTCGTGAGGTGCTCTCGAGGCCATTTGGGTCTTCCTTGAAATCGTGGGGTCACCTTTGGCCAGGGGCACTTCTGGCAGCACCCGAGGGGTGGGCGAAGTCGGAACGAGCTCCGTGCAGCTCGCGCGGCTTCTCTGCGAGCAGCGGGGCCGTGCCCTCGGCCCGGAGCCTGCCGGGGGTCGGCCCCCAAAGACGGACCTGAGCTCACCAGAGGAGAAGGAGCCACCACCACCAGCTCGGGGGGTTCGGGAAGGAAGTTCTGTGGAGTTCTGGTGGGGGTAGCTCTTGGAAACGCTCTGCGTCGTGACGTTCTTGTTGGGGCACGACGCCACGGAGCCAGGCTCCTCCGCCCCTCACCTTGCCTGAGATCCGACGTGACGAAACAGCTGCAACGTTGCGAAAAGTGGCAACAGAGCCCCCAGACCCCGACTGCCCACGGCCTTCTGCGAGCCAGGTCCACCCGTGATGGTCCAGGGGCCCGAACCAAGGCGAAAGCGCCCGGCATGAAGAGATTGCCACGCGCGGATCTCGCCAGGTCCCAGGGTTGCCCTCTGGCGAGCAGTGCGCCGCCCGAAGCCTTCCACCACCCGAGCGGCGGCCCGATGCCCGATATCGCAGCGGCCGGGGCGCGCCGACGCGATCCGTGCGCCCTCCCCCTTCCCCCACCCCCCATCCGAGCCCCGAGGCCGCTCGGGTGAGGCCCGACCGGAGCATTGCTCCGATGCATCGGCGATGCGCCGCGATCCAGAGCCCGAGGTTCTCGGTCCCGGCGCCGCCGATGCACCGCAGATGCGTCGGCGGCGCGTCGGCAATACACCGCCGGTGTCTTTCGCCGATGCGTCGCGACCCCGCCTGCTCGGACACCGTTACTGGGGCGGTCATCCAGCCTCTTCCGAGGAGCCGACGAGCCGAGGAGCGGAGGAGCGGCCCCGCGGCGGCCCGGCGGCCGCAGCCGCGTGGGCGCCCCCCCCGCGCAGCGTCTCCCCGTTCGGCGCGGCGGCACGGACCGTCCAGGCGGCGGACCCTGCGGCGCGGAGGGCCCTCCAGCCATCATCATCAGCAGCAGCAGCATCATCCTCATCAGCAGCAGCATCAGCATCAGCATCAGCATCATCATCAGCATCATCATCCTTACCAGCATCAGCATGATCATCATCCTCATCGCCATCGTCATCGTCATCGTCATCATCAGCAGCAGCATCAGCATCAGGTATCAGCATCAGCATCATCATCATCAGTATCATCAACAGCATCAGAAGTATCATCAGCATCATCGTCATCATCATCGTCAACATCATCATCGTCATCATCAAAATCATCAGCATCATCATCCTCATCGCCGTCATCATCGTCATCATCATCAGAAGCAGCATCAGCATCATCATCATCATCATCATCATCATCATCATAATCATCATCATCATCATCATCATCATCATCATCACCGTCATCATCATCATCATCATCATCATCCTCATCATCACCATCATCATCCTCATCATCATCATCATCATCATCGTGACCAGAATCCTCATCGCCATCGCCATCGCCATCGCCATCATCATCATCATCATCATCAGCATCATCAGCATCAGCATCAGTATCATCAGCATCATCGTCATCGTCACCGGCATCATAATCACCGTCATCATCATCAGCATCATCATCATCCTTATCGCCATCGTCATCGTCATCATCAGCGGCAGCAGCATCAGCATCAGCATCAACACCATCATCATCACCTTCATCATCAACATTATCAGCATAATCATCATCCTCATAGCCATCGTCATCATCATCGTCATTATCATCAGCAGCAGCATCATCATCAGCGCCATCATCGGCATCAGCAGCATCAGCATCATCATCATCAGCATCATCATCACCAGGATCATCATCATCAGCATAATCAGCATCCTCATCGCCATCGTCATCGTCATCATCCGCAGCATCAGCATCAGCATCATAATCATCATCATCAGCATCATCTTCATCATCGGCATCAGCATCATCACCATCGCCATCACCATCACCATCACCGTCGCCACCACCACCACCACCACCACCACCATCACCATCACTATCAGCACCTCAGACAGCACGGCGGCCCCATCCACGCCCTCCTCACGCGTCCTCGTGCTCAGCATGGTCGATGCTCTCACCCTCATAGTTTTGGGGCGCGTCTCAACTGATCGTGGACATCGCCACGCTGATGGGCGCCAGGCTGTCTCTATCTGGCTCGAGGTGCCTCCTGCTCTTCCTGCTTCTGGCGGCGACCCTGCCGATGATGACGATGACGATGACGATGACGATGATGACAACAATCATAATAAGAATAAGAATAAGAATAAGAATAATGATGATGGTGATGATGATGATGATGATGAGGATGAGGATGATGATGATGATGATGATGATCATGATGATGATGATGATGATGATGATGATGATGATGATGATGATGATGATGACGGCGACTCTCTTATGACGACGCTTGGGACGAAAACGCTGGTGGTCACGGTAGTGGTGGATCTCGGCCTGGGTCTCGGCGGCGCGGTGTTCCTCGCCTTCCTTCCGACCCGTGGCAGTGGCCTGGGATTTGTGACCCGTGGGCAGCGGATACGGCGGGAGCGAAGGATCGCAGGACCTGCTGCGCGACCACGCCATCGATCCTCGACCTTCTTCAGTTGACGACAGCTCGTGCTGGTCACGACGCACAAGTTCGCACTGCGATGTTTCAACTGATGCGGTACAGGAGTGTGCACATGCCCGTAATGTATACGGTGTTGTACCTGATCCAATTCTGTGCACGATGCTGTTCGCGATGTACCAGTTCGTGCGGCACCAGATGCTGCATCACAAGATCTACTGAGCGCCTACGACCCCCAGTCTCTGGACGGGCCGCTGTCGCTGAACCCATTTTTTTTGCGAAATGCACGCGGTGCTCGGGACCGCCGCCGCCGCCGCGAGTCTGCGGTGGGGTCTCCGGCCGAGCTCGCCCGCCGCCGAAATGCGAAAGGGACACTGGTTGTCTGTATAATTACTTTCAGCCCACCCCGCCACCGCGCCTGGGTCGTGAGCCAGAGGCTTCATGTGTGCTCATTGGGCTCTGTTGGGGGGAATTGGGGGAGGTTTCTTGGACGGCCTCCTGAGGCCTCCCACGAGAGTTTGAGGGTCTCTTGGGGCGTTCTGGCGGCCTCTTGGAAGCGTGCTGGGGGCCTTGTGGGATCTTGTTCGGGGCTCTCGGAAGCGTCTCGCGGGCTTCAGCGGAGAATTTGTGGGATCTCTTGATATCAGTTCGCGAGGCGTCTTCGGGCTCTATGTCTTGGGGCCGTCTTCAGGTTTTTTGCTCCCAGAGGCGACAATTGTGCCGTCTTGGGGTGATTTCGGGGGCCCCTGGAGGGCTCCATGACGGGCCCCAGGGGCCATCTGATAGTACATTGGACACATCGCAAGATGTATCGGAAGAGCGCGGCACGCAAGAGTCACAAAAAAGGTAATCACGCGGGAAACGGGTGAATACAAAACGGAGGGAAATTTCGAATTGCCTTGCGGTGTCGGATTCAGGCTCGTTTTTCGCGGTTCGACAGTTTTCAAATCAGATGCGTTTGTTATATGCACGCATGCGCGCGATGTAAGCACGTATGCGCACATTGACTATACCGATGGTTCCCAGGTTCCTCATGTAGTACACAGCGCGCGCAGAGTCCATCGCCGTCGTTTTTGTTTATATTGCCGCCTTAGCTTTTGCATGCGGCCGCCACCAGTGCTTGTAACACCCAGTTAATGTCGGGGACGTTGGCCGCCAGATCTTGGACCCCCCCCGCATTGTGTTTTATGTTCTTTCGCCGCCGCCGCGGAAATCCCTGTGAGCACTTGTCCTACAGTGTCGACCTGGTCATGGTGCTGCTCATCATTTACCAGGTCGCGCTCTGCACGATACCGTACACGATGCTGTACAAGTTCGCGCCGTTCGCGATAATAAACAAGTTCGTACTTTGCAAGATACCGGATTCGGTGCTAATTTACAAGTTCGTGTTGTACCAGGTGGGCGATTCGACGCTCCAACCGATGATGTACACGATGCTGCTCGCGATGTACAACTGCGTGCTGTACAATTCACTGTACACGATGCTGATGTACAACACCGTGCTTTACCAGGTGCTGTGCCCGATGCTGCATACGATGCCGTACGCGATGGTGTACTAGTTGGTGCTGTACCCGCTGCAGTACACGATGTTGTACAAGTTCGTATGGTACCTGATGCTGTACTAGGTACTGATGAACCGGTTCGTTGTGTCCTTGGGTGTTGATGAACCGGTTCGTGGTGTCCTTGATGTTGTACACGCTATTGTACAGGATGCCTCTCGCGATGTACCCGTTCGTGCTGTACTTGATGTTTCTCGTGCGGAAGTCGCGGCGCGTGTTCGTGAGCCGTTCGAGGCGATCGCTTCGCGGATGGATGAGATTTTTTCGCCTAGATGTGATGGCCACGTTTGTTTGAGTCGGGTGCGGCTTTCACCCGAGACTGGGGAATTGGAGGCACTGGATCTTGATGTATGTGATGAGGCCCTTCCTGCTGATGCCGTTCGTCAGGAGCCTCTCCCTGGTTCTGAGCCTGTTTCGGAGAGGGCCTGCTGCAGGCAGCTTCTTCGGGAGATTGGAGTTGTGCCGCTCCGTGGCGCTGGCCCTCCTCGTCTCGCCGCGCCTTATCGCGGGTACTATTCTGGCCTTGGTGTCTGCAGGTGGCTCCATAAACGAAATATGTGCTTGACGACTTTGTGCGGATAGTGGCCTTTTCGAGGGAGTGGTTTCGTTGGTCTTCCCGAGTTTGCGGGACGCACGGCCTGGCTGATGGCGCGTGTTGTGTTGTCACAGGTGGCGCTACACACCTCCGCTCCCTGGGAGTGGCTTCGGTGGTCTACCTTCGGTTTGAGGATGGCAAACCTTGGTGGCTGGCGCGGGCTGTGCAGTCCCAGGTAACGCTGTATACCCGTGGTGGGAGCCGTCTCGGGGCGCTCGTGGCTTGCCCGACCATACCAGGACACAGTGTCCCCTTGGTTGCCATTCAACGGATTGCTGAACATATGGACGAAGTGTCATTGACGTCATTGTCCCCAACGCCGGCCCCGTCGGGGGGGGAGAGCAGCAGCATCATCAGCACCATCAGCAGCAGCGTCACCGACGTCATCATCATCATCATCATCATCATCATCATCATCATCATCATCATCATCATCATCAGCAGCAGCAGCAGCAGCAGCAGCAGCATCATAGTTGTCAGCCTCGTCAGCAGCAGCATCATCAAACTCATCCACATCGACATCATCAGCACCACCACCACGGCCACCACCGTCATTATCTTCAGAAGCAGCACTAGCAGCACCCTCACCATTGGCACAAACAGCAACACCAGCAGCAACAACAACAACCTCACCATCCCCATCGCCACCACCACCACCATCGTCGCCATCATAATCGTAATCACCATCACCCCCATCATCCAAAAAATCGACATCCTCACCATCGCCCTCAACATCATAACGCCACCACCCCGTCATCAACAGCATCGACACCACCACCACCAGCATCACCACCTTCATCCTCGCCCTCCCCACCATCGACCGTCCAGGCGACCGACCCAGCAGCGCGGAGGGCCCTCCGGCCCTCCGCGGTCCTCTCGCCGGACGGCTCCACGGTGCACCTGGCGCCGCCCGCCGTGGGAGGCCGGGCCCCGGGCCCACACCCGCTCCAGAGAGGGGGGGGCGGGGAGGGGGAGGGGGAGGGGGGGGAGGGAGGGGGAGGAGGAGGAAGGGGAGGGGGCCCGTAGCCATTTTGGCTCAAGGGGGGCTGGGCCGTCGTCGCCCTCGTCGGTCGCCCCCTCGTGCTCGGGCTCGCGCGCCGCGGGCCATCGCTCGGCGCCGCGGCCGCGGCAGGCGCCCCGCCAGGACGCCTCGTGAAGGCGAACCATCCTGGCATCGGCGCCAGCGGCAGCAACGCGCTCAGGCGCGCACGCTGCTCCGAGTCCTCTCTGCCGCGAGGACCCTCGCGGAACACCACAGCGCCCAGCCCGTCGACAAGATGACGCAGGACTGGAAGCACCAGCGCGCCTGGGAGCAGGCGACTGGGAGCAGCCACACTTCTCGTGGTCATCCCGTCGGAGCTCAGCCATGGCCGTGGAGGTCGGGATCTCAGACGCGAAGACGCAGGACGTACGGGAAGAACGACGACCAGAGCTGGCAGCAGGACCGCGACGGCCACGACCAGTACGACGGCAACGCAAGCACCCGTCACAACAGCCACTGCCAGCAGCAAGACGCCAAGGACGAGCATGCTCACCACTTCACCCACCACGGCGAAGACACCCACAAGAAAGGTTCACGGGCTCGCTCCACACATCGCACAACGACACGGACGCAGAGCAGGAAGCACTACGGCGCGCACAACTTCTTCGACGGCTTCCAGTTCTCCAAGAAGCAGCGCGAGATCCTCGACCAGGTCCTCCCTGCCGACGACGTGCGCATGCAGTCCCACGAGAGCTTCTCCACGCCCCCGCTGGAGGAGGACATGCGCCGCCTTTGGGTGACAACCAAGCGCGGACGCATCGCTCGGTTGGCAGACCAAGCTCAGGGCGCACGCGCCGTCGGCGTCGACGATGCCAAGATCGTCGCAGAGCTGTCTGTCAACAAGGCAATGCTCCTCCTCACGTTGTCTCCCGACGAGCGGGTGCACTACTACCGCCGATGCATCGACACCACGGTCAGGCGAAAGAATGCGATCAAGGACGACATCAGGAAGATGCAGACCGAGCTCGACAACACGGAGGGCAGCTTGAGGATACTACGGGCTCTACTACAGGAGTCGAAGTTTAAGAGGGACGACGCCACACCCGACCTCGAGTACGACGACTTCTACAGCGACAACGACGAGAGCGAGAAGGACCACCACAACAGGCGCAGGACCCGGACACAGACACCTCACCCACGACAGCGCGAAGATCATCGACCCCAGCAGTACGCAGCACCAGCAGCAGCACCACTTCGACAGCAGGACGACCCACACCAAAACGGTCACAAAGAGCTGCTCGCGATGATCACGGACCTCTCCAAAAAGGTGGACCAGCAGCGACAACACACGGGACTCCATCAGCACCACCTAGCTCACCTCCACCAACAAGCTGATCTCCGACAATCCGAGCACCGCGAACAGTTGCAGGAGGAGTTTGCGCGCATGGAAGCACACACGTCTCAGAAGGCCTTCAACGAGCTCCATCTCGAACTACAGCACCACGAGCAACGACTCCAGCGCCGCTTCCAGGAGGAGATAGACGAGATCAACGTGCGCAACCGCCACCTAGAACATCAGCAAGCACAACGGTTCCTACGACAGTCCGAACAACGATGTCAGGAAGATGAAGCTGAACAGGCACATCGCATGAAGACCGAGCTCGAACAGCACCAACTACTTCACGACGCCGCACGCGGTCACCTTGCACGGCGGGAAGCAGTACAGCAACACGAACTACGGGAGGCTAAGCCATATTGGCTCCAGCATCTAATTCGTGAATCCGAGCACCGCCTTCAACAGGAGGAAGCTCAGTGCGCTCACAACCTCCTACTTCAGCACGAGATGAGAGGGCAGCAACAAGAAGACGCACTACGACTGGCTCAGCAACGACAGCTTCAAGAAATCAACTGCAGGGCTCATGCGGAATCATCGGCACTCATGCAAGCCAAAGAGAAGATCCTCGAGGAGTACGGTGAACTGCGGGCGCAACAACACGAAGCAGCCACGATTCGCACCGAGCACCAGCACGAGCGAGCCCGACTCCAAGGCGAACGTGCCAACCTACACCTCACCGAGCAGCAGCTCCACGACAGGTACATCAACCACTTGGCGACGACCGAGGAGATGCGAATAAAGGAAAGGGAGGAAATGCAACGTGAGTTTCGACAAGCCGAGCTTCTTCATGACCCTCTTGATCTTGAACTGTTGCAAGAATTGAACACGAGATTCAGCGAGAGAGACGAGGAGGAGAACAGACAGCAGGCGTTAGCCGACTCAGAGGAGAAGCGCATCCACCGCGAGATCGAAGGCGCCCTCACCGCGATCATCCCAGGCCCCTACGAGCTGCCTCACCCACACGCCGACATCTACCTCGAGCAGCTACGACAAATGAGCTCTCCACCGAACGCAGCTCATTCCACGTCCAACTCAGACGCATGGAGCTTACGAGACCTCGGCTTTGCAGCCGCACCACCCACCTCACCACCCGCCCCGAACCCCGACCACACCCACGACAGAACGCCCACACACCCTCCAGCCAGTATCGCCCCACTCAGCGATGCCGACCACGACAAGCCCTCTGAAGCACACCACGGCGATACACAAGCATACCAATCGAGCTCTCCGAGATCTTCGTGCTCTCCCACGCCCATCGCCGACGACGGCTACCTCTCTCAGCACGACGACGGACAGTCTACGCCCATTCCTGACCTTCATCACGACTCCGACCTCGAAGGCACCGACACCCCCATCCCAGCTGCGCAGGCCACTCCCCCCACCCCACACATCATCTTCCCCGAAGTACGTGCCATGTCCGCCCCCCCCGACAAGAGATCGACACCCGATGACCAACAGCGATCCACGCCCCTTACCACAATTCTCATCGATCTCAGCGACGACGAGCACGAAGTACCCACCACGCCCAAGACTCGACCGATCACCAGCATCACCCCAACCCAAGCCTACAGCCCCATCATCCCTCCACCCAGATTCCATATGGGAACGCCCGACAGGGCCCATTCAGCGCCACCATCACGAACCCGATCGGCCCTCAAGAGACAGGACTCCACATCACGACCACCGCGGAAGGTCCGTATCCACGACAGCGGTGACGGCTTCGCGGACATATCCGACCGCGTCCCTCTCCGTGCCGATCCCGACGATGAAGGATCGGACACCGCGCTGCGTCCAAAAAACTAGATACGAACGACCCCGATGAGGGCGCTCTGGCTCATCGGACCCGTCGAAAAAGACCAGAGCAACAGGCCCCTGGTCGGCCTCAAGCGACCATACGTAATTATCGGCCCAGCGCCACACAGCATAACAATGTCACAGACGCAGCAACGAACCTTGCGACCCCTGCGGTGCAGGTAACTTGCAGCTTCAGACACGCACACCCACCCCGCCTTCCACTAGGGAAGCCTACGACGACTGACCTCGACAGGCTGACACCCGCTTTGGGGACTGCGGATCAGCACCGAGCGCCAGGCAACATAGACAGCCGACTCTGCCACCATCCCTCCGCGACAGCAGACTCCACTGGCTTGCAGACAGCAACCAACCTGACGACCCAGGGGGTGCAGGTGACTTGCACTTCTGACAGCCACCTTCCGACACACAACACCAGTCCACGCGCACTGACTCCTGCTTTGGGGATAGCAGATCAGACCCGACGGACAACGGCAGAAGTTTCACTTGCTTCACACTACCAGCACGACGCAACCGTTGGACCACCAACAACTACCCACCATAGGCGCTACCCGACCGAAGAGTGGGAAATCTACTCGAGCGGTTCGCGCCCCCACCCAAGCTCGACTGCCATACTGGGGAGGGTCCCCCCAGATGGCACCTCGCGCAGGCCGACACCTCCACGAGCGCCACCTGGCTCCTATGCCGCCACCTCCGACACTTCGCCAAGGCACGACCTACCTCGCTCCATCATCTCTGAGAGAACTCAGCGTGTCACGCCGACCACACCAAGGGCGAGGCCAGGCGACGAGACGAATTGGTTACATACACCACCCCGACTCGAGCGACCCAAGCCCGACCTATGGACAAGGGCGACTAGCCATTTTGGCTCGCAGGCGCCCGACCTGCACGACGTCACGGTCACCACAACTAGCCATGTTGGCTCTATGCATGCACGGAAATTCAACGGCTCCGACGTCCACAACGAGACGCCCGAGTACCACAGCGCGATCACGATAGACTACTTCCCTGGGATCGAGGATACCTTCCTCGATAACAGCAGCGAGATGGATAGCGGCAACTTCCACCTCGATGACGACGCCATTCGCACGCGGCTTCTGGCACGAGTCCGACGGCAGCAGCGACGGCGACTAACAGCACAGCAGACATCCACGCACACCACGACCCACAATCGATTCCAAGCCCTGCAACCCAGCCCACCGCCACCCTCAGCAAGACATACCACCACGCTTCCGACACAGCAGCCCACCGGCCATCCACCAGTAGTCCTGACAGCATCCCAGGGCGCTGGACATGGCACAGCAGCACCCGACAGAGACTGCCACGTGGCCACAGGTGAAAGGCGTCAACGACAAAAGACAGCCATGCACCCCTTTCGATGCCCAGCAGGAGTTTCTGCAACAACGCACAACGGACAAGCTGCACACAGACGACAGCAGAAGGCGACAGCAATGTTACCGTTTCGAGTACAGCGACCACCCAATCCCAGCGCCGACAAGCAGCCCCAACAACCGCAACCATCTTACCACGAGGCCAATCTCGACATCACAAGATATCACGGCCTGCAACCACCAGGCGACTGCACATGCGACCTAGGGGACACCAGAGGACTGATCAGACGAATACGGGCCACGACCGCCCCCTTTCTCAACGCCAACATCGAAGGTGATGACCTGCACCCAGCAGCAACATATGCGCTCAACAATACGACGAAAGGCAACAATGCCCACAG